AGGGGAGGCAATGCTGTCTGTCGTTTTTGGCAATCAGTAAACCTTACCTTTAAATAAGAAAGACATCACAAAGAAATAAAATGACTTTAAAATAAAACTTTGATTTATTATACAGGTTTTCTTTAAAATACAAAATAGTAAAAGAAACAGTTGTAAAACTAAACGGTTTACAGATAAACCCAACATTGAATTATGTAAAACAAGTCAACACCCGTGTTATTCCAAATTTCTCACAAAAGCAAGAAAACGGAGACATGGAGAGAAGCAAAGTTCATTCTACCAAAGCTGGTTGTTGACACTGAGCCCAAGGTTATACGAGTTCTATACCAGATCACTTAATGTGTTGTGAATAAAGTATACAGGCCTGCAATTAGGTCGTAGTCTTAGTTTTGCTTTATAATCCTGTAAAGAGTAGATTTCTTAGAAGAGCTTTTTCTTCATCAGATAAAAATGTCCTTTAAACAAAGTTTATTTGATTAGTATTTTTATGGTACTCAAAGTCCTTAGTAACAGTAGGCTGGGGTGCCACTTTGCTTCAGAACAAAAGAGTTTTTGAGCTGTTGACTGGTAACATAAAACATTTCGCCACCACTACTCAACTTCTTTTCTGTAATCTTGTGGTCTTCCCAAGTTTCAAGTACAGAATTGTCGGTATTCCTAAAGGAACTGCATGACGTTCTCATGATTTTCTTCCACAACTTGAGGAATACATTAGAAATAATGCATGATATAAAGAAATGCATTTGGTACAAGACTGATGACTGGAAAATAGACTAATGTGCATTGACTGTGAATTGCCAAGAAATTAAAGTCCCACATAAAACAATGTAACTAGAGATGCATTCCCCCAAATGGATAACATCAGTTGAAGATGAGAACACTGGAAAAAGTACAGTGACTAAACGGTATGCTATAAAATAGGAAACATCCTGCTCTTGGGCTTTCTTTAATAGCGGCAATATAAATAATGCAAAACGAGTACTTATTGGTGCCTTCATAGTCAACTGCTAAGAATTCTGAAGTAGTTACCCTTTAACCTAAAACGGATTTGTTAACAAAGTGCATTAAACTGCTCTTTCCACAGACACTCAAAAGTGATTTACTACAGCCAAGGCTCCAAGTTAAGAAAGCCAATATTCATTCCAAACTTAAAATAATGATAAAACAAAGGCTATAAAAATGTCTAGCATCAAACGTAAACTCCCTTTTTATAGATCTTCTAAAGGAAAAAAAAATTCAGTTTTAATCGCTTTTAAACTTTTCTGAAAAAAAAAAAATTCCGAAATAATTTACATTTATCTGCAGGTATACATATATATGTGAATTACACTGAAACGTGCCTATTAGCATCAGGTTTGAATTTGTACTTTTTCATAGAAATCGAAAATGTTGTTTTCTTGAGTTTTATGTTGTGTGTCTATGAACATGCAATAATTAGGGTTTATCATAGTATGTTAAATACCTAAATGTATTTTTAAAATATAAATTAAATTTGAGGGTTTTTTTCCACAAATTTTCCCACATGGAAAACTCCTGACTTTATCATCTGCACTGAAGTTAAACATGAAGTCCATTTAGAACAGTGAACACTTGACAAATTCATGTGGAATTCTGAGCACTGAAACCAGTTGGTAATGTTACTAACAGATATAATAATAAAGTCTTACTTTACTCTGATATATGGTAAATTATGTTATGTACAGCAGTATTTGCATGGATTTATAATGCATTGGTAATAAAGCCAACGTATTATTATTCCCAATCAATTGTAGATGAAAAATGTATATACTTTTCACCGTTGGATACAACAGTTTATTTCTGGTTCTCCAATGCCATTTTTAGTTTCCCCCTCAGCTTAGCATGACATCTTAAAGGGCAAACTGATCCAAACCTGACATGTCAGTTCTAGGTAGATGCTGATGGGGTGAATCATTCATTAGCTACTTATATCTATAAGGAAATCTGGTTGCCACATCTCAGCACCTCAATTTGAACTTCCGCCTACCTGCTACGACCAATTAAAAGGGCTCTCACTATCTAGGTCTATTTGTAAATGTTTTCACGTAACATTTATACAACTTTATTCCAGGATTGAATACAATTAGAAAACATGCGAATCTTGGCTGAAAGTTGAGTGAATCTTGTGTGAGCTTTTTTCACATTTAACATTTTGTGGTTAATTAACTAAAGTAAAATTATGTGACTGAAATTAGTTTTTGGCTGACTTTGCTCTTTGAGTTTTTACATGCTATAAAAAATAGTAACAGCTAGAGTATTGCTCTCATGAACAAGAGCTCATTTTCTGTGCAATCTGCTTAGAGATTTATTATCTAAGAAAAGTTCAAATTCTATTTTTCTGGATTAAGAATATTGGTCTCTTGAAAAATAATAAAGTAGAAAACAACAACCTTCATTGGGAAAAATAATTAGATTTTTTTGATTAAGCAGAAATAAATCCTTGCAATCTAATCTTAGTTAACTAGCCAGGTGTGGTATGTCAGCTTCATATCTGTCTGAGGAATGATGTATCACTTCTATTGTTTAGAACACGTTAATCTCCTAAACCTTTTATCTGCAGTACTTTAAACTTTTCCACCCTGCAATTTTTGGTAATGAGCAGAAATAGACTTTTTAAAAGACTTTTCGCAAATGTAATGTAAAAATGTTCACTGTCTTTGAAGGAGGCCATTTTAAAATGTTGCCAAATTTTACTGAGACATACCGATAGTGCACACATCATTAAATTCCAGTATTAAAGTTTTTTCAGTTGCCCACAGCAAGCAAATTTTCAGTTAAAAAAAACAAAAAAAAAAAACAAGGAGTATGCTAATGGTAAAATAAATAATTATACAAAGTTAACCGGAATTTACAGTTTTACAGCGGTTTACAATGCCAAATCAAAAAACAGATCTGCAAAAGGCACTTTTAACCTCTGATCATCATAGCTCCCTGAAAAAAGGGGCTTGCAAAGATAATTCCAGTTTTTGAACACTTCATCACCTACCAATGCATCAGGACTCCCATCCGTTGGTGGGACACCAAGGGCAATAAAGTCTGCAGAGTTACAGACAGCTTTAACTATTGTGCACTTCAGCAGATTAACACTTTGTTAAGGGATTTTGTGTATAGCACAGGTGTCAGGGACTGGTATCATGTACTTACTCCACTTTAATGCATGTGTGCAGGGCACAAGCCGGGGTGGGTGGGGGGGTGGGGGGGGGGGGTGGGGGGGGGGGGGGGGGGGGTGGGTGGGGGGGGTGGGGGGAGTGGTTCTCAACCATTGGCACCTTTGGGGAGTGGGGGGGGGGGGGGGGAAATCGGGTACCTGAATTTGACAGTTACCAGCTCCCACTACCACTGTGATCGAATAGGCGATCGGAAGCGGAAGTTGTTTTCCCCCTCCTTCCATAGTCTTCTGAACACGTGACAGGTCCCAGAAAACTACGGGGCCATTCACAAAGCACAGAACTTCTCGCGCATGCACAGTGGGCACCTGGCTGTGAAGCCGCAATCGGTCACAGCCGGGTGCCCACACTAAAGATGCCGGCACCAGTGAGAGAAGGCGGCCAGTGAACCAGCAGTGGTGAGGACACCACTGGACTGAGGGACAGGTAAGTCGCTGTATTCTACAAGTTAGAAGCTACAGTTTTTGTAGCTGCTGACTTTTATTTTTTTTTTCAGCTGGAATTCCGCTTTACTATAAATATCACTTCTATGTTTGTGGTGGTGTCTGAAAATTTTACCTGTATCAACAGCACATATCCGTAATCTCAGTGATTCGTAGCGGTATGGTGTACATAAAACGGTTTCTACCATTAACATGAAATGGGTGAAACAACTATGGTGGACATTCAGTAAAAATATAAAGACTGCATATTAGTGGTCAAAAGGCATGAGAATACAATTATTTTTCCAATAATGAAAGACTTCTCTTTTGTGGAAAAAGTAAAATTAGTCTTAGATGCCACCCTCTGAAGATAATCACCAACACAACAGTCTCCTGTTCTAAGCTTGAGCAGGATAGGATTGTTTGTCTGTCAGTGTCCTAAGAGCCAGTTGGTGACCACTGCCATGGGAACAGCAGGTAGGTTAGAAAACCTACCCTTATCACAATTTTCCCCCACTGATAAGCTGTCACCAGCTCCCCTCTACATGTGTTACTTGTCACCTTGGCAGAACCAAGCATACAAGCCAATAGCCTGTTCAGCACTCTGATAGAGGAGTTCCCGAAAGGTTTCTGTACCATGCATGCTCTGACTACCATCTTGTGTTTGTGGCCACCTTTCAAGTGATAAGATATAAACTTGGCCAGGACTGAAAGGGATTGGGGGGGGGGGGGGGGCTTGTGGTCAATGCCTTTTGTGGGACTTAGCATTGTAGGTGAGGAACCTCTATGCTTCCTCTAGTGAAAGAAAGGAAAGGTCATACATTATACATTCAATCTAAGTCTTTCAATATTGTTCTGCTCCATTACCAGTGATTTTCTCTTAACTATTCCATAACAGTTCGGATTTAATCAACACATTCCTATACAAGTCAAAACCACATAGCTGGTTCCTATAACACATGAAAATACAGTATGTATAAGTCATACTTTTTAATGCACCAATAATGATCGTATATTATATGCTTTAATAATATGATTTTTTTTAGCTTGATTTCTGCTTCTGGTTGTATTGTAAATAAAATTAAAAATACAGCAAATCTCCAGAAATATCCGTTGTGGTATTGGCACCTGGAGAAGTGGCATTTTACGGAAAAGCAAAGAATAAATCCAAGACCTGCAGACTTAGTCAATCACATTCTATTGTGAGCATCACAAGCAGGATGGGGCAGATTGAAAAAAAAGGCAATGTGCAAAACAGAAAAAAAATTCTAATTAATAGTCAAAAATCCATAAATAACCAATAAAACATTCCTGTTTTTAACTTCAACCAAGGAAAGTAAAATCTTCAAAGCAACAATGCACTCAATAGAAGTTCTGATTGCACAAGGATGAATCATTGAAGCTGCTCAATGCAGTCCAGGTGATCTGGTATAGGAAGGCCTGTTAATATTGTCAGACACTTGTTCCACACAGTGAGGGTTGGACACACAGGCTGTGCAAAAGCAATATCAAAAGTGTAGAGATGAATAGAGTTCAATGCATCATAAAATGACAGAGAGCCATTATCATAGTCTAACAAAATTCCAATGCGGCGGAGGTGTGGTGAGGGCTCAATTATAATCTCTTTATTGTTATGTCTTACTGCCCAGTTGTTGTTGCAGCGACAGAATACCCAAGAGGCAGAATTTTTTCCTATCCACTCATGCTTTGGTGCCGACTTGTATGCAATGCCAACAGCGTACCTAAACAATGAATGATAAAACATATTTTAAAACATATTCAATATATACTGGAACACTACAGCAGTTACTGAAATGAGGGATCACTGGCCTCTACAATTTTACATACATTCTTTCTTTAAAGCTACATTACCAATTTTCAACGGGATAGCCCATTGATATCTCTGCCCTCTACTGGATAGATATGTTGCATTTTTGACTTTTCCATAAATCCTATATTTAGTGAATTGCATACTTCATATACTTCAATGCTCTTAACATCATTAGATTTGACACCTTTGTACTTGATTTTAACTATTTCATGATGCTTGGGCATGATATTTTATAATGTTACAATAACTGCTCTACTTAGAGTCTCTTTTTCTGCAGGCAATATTGGTAGGGTCAGGATTCCTGCATTTATTCAGCACTGAAATTTCACACTTTACAAAAAAAAAAATTAACATCAGTTTATGCACCTGAGGAGCATGCAATTTAAAGTTCCAGTCATACATCAGAGCCACTTAGCTTAGACTGCCATTTACTTAACATTATGTTTTTGGGTTTTAGGAGTGAACAGGAGGAGATCCACAAAAACGTACAAACATCCACTGTACATAGATTGTTTCCATGATAGGTATTGAACTTAGGACCTGAAACTGCAAGCCACAAATGCGAACCACCTACATACCTTGCTTTTTTCCCATTATAAGAAGAATGTCACAGAAGAAAATAGTTTGAATTGGTAGGAAAAGTCACAAAAAGCACGTGGATGATGCATGTCTGACAAAGACCAGGCAATCTACTGTCAAAAATGATGAAGCATCAACTTATCTATGACCAGCCCAGCTCTGATACAGAATGAGATGGGTATTCTGGTTTCAGTGGTAAACATTCAACTTCTTCCTTGGCATTTGTATGACTTGAAAGCAAAGTTCATACAATAGTATCTCTCAGATCTGGTAATACAAAACATATCCACCAAAGGTCATGGTGAAGTTACAAGCTACATCTACACACTATTGGAAGACTCCAATCTCAAGAACAACTGAGATGGCTGACCCCCTTTTATTTTGCCACAATATGATATGCTGGACTTGCATTCAACCACAGAATGGTGTCACTTTTTGTGTGTAGGTAGTTTATACAATTTAAAAATATCCCTGGTTTCAGTCTTGGACACATTCAGATCACTACCACCAGCCCTAAGCCATTTTAAACAGGAGAAACTTGGTACAGTTGACAATAAAAAGACCCAAGAGAGCAAGTTTTTACAGAGAAGGTTAAAATCTTCAATTTCCTCTAAACATTGATTTGCAGGTATGTAAAAATAGTTCAGTAAAACCCAGCCCTGCTTGTGTTACTGTTCAAATATTATTTCTTCTTCATTATGGTATAGGCTTCTTATAAAAGAAAGCAAAAAAAACAAAGCATACAAGCTCAGGGGCCGATACTTAATACGTACCAGGTGCTTCCACTTATAATCACTTCCCAGTAATGGCGGCCACTGTCAAGGAACACATTGCCAGCTACGCCATAACTTCCTTGGCTTGTAAAACGCTCTGGTGTATGGCTCTTTTTCGAAGAAGTTTCGTCTCTTTCTACAGTCAGGTTGTCATGTGAAACTTTTAGCTTCCGGTGTGCAGATTTGGGGTCTAGCTTAAAAGGTTGACCTAGAGAGAAAATAAAATAGGATAGTAAATTTCTTTTGGCAACAAAACAAAAAAACACATCAGCATGTGTCAAAAACTGCTCCTGCAGCGAAACGTAGATATAAAATATGGTTAGTGGCATATTGAGACTAGATTTGTCACTGATGCAGATTTGAGCTGACGGCCACAGTGCACAGCTGTGCACTGCAAAGGCTAAGTAAAGTTCAAACTTTTATTATTATGAGCAAGAATAAATGCCCACTACTCAGTACTCAGTCAGGACAACAGATATACATACAGTACATAATTAGATAAAATAGATGACTTTTGTTTAGCCAAGCCAAATATGCAACCATACAATGAGCCATGAGGAAAGCACATATATAAATGAAGATGCAATTATAAGAAAGTACATGTTTTATTGGTACACAAAAAAAAAATCTGGATACTGAAGAAAAGCCATTGATTCCTTTACATATTTAAACAATGTCCCACAATATTCTACAAGAAGACTGTTGACCAATTTAGTGACTATATTTCCTTAAATTAAAATCCACGTTTGTGAATTGAGCCTCACAAAGGCATTCAAATGCCTTTTTTATTTTTACAAAGCTTCTGCACAAGGATAAGAACCTTTATTTTAGCCATGTGACTATAAATCTTATTGGAGTCACCAGAAAATAACTGTCACTTTTTTGAAGAAAAGTTTCCTTATCCTGGTTAACTTTGTAAATTGAACCCATGACTTTATAAAACCAGCAGAAAATGCTACGTTCACTTCCATGCAAAAAAAAAAAAAAAAAAAAAAAAACATGCAACTGTACTGAGTGCAACACTTTCCAGAATTCTAATCAGTCTGCGTGTGTCAATACTTTTCCCAGGTCACATGTTGAAGTAAACTATCAATGTACTTAGGATTTATAGAAATAACAAACACATCTTTGGTGATATATTGGCCAAGGGTAGTAAGAGTTATATGATGTAAGGGATACAGGGTTGAATTACTAAAGGTAAAATAGACTGTTTACTCTGCAAAGGAAGTTGCACCTTGCAAGGGAATTACCCCCCAGAGTTTAGTGAACAAGGTAAGTCTAAGCTGACTGCCATCACCCAATCATGTAAAAGCAAAAATGTTGTTTTTGTTTCCCACAAACATTATTGGGTATTCTTTGAAAAGTGAAACTTTGCAGGCTTATGTATTTTCTCAGTATGGGTTAGAATAAACAACCTGGCTCATTCAGCATGGTGTACCTACCTATTGCCTATATTTTACCTATGCATCTGCTAGCTTTTTTTTGTGTTTGCTTAATGGATTAACACTACACGCAGTAACTTGAGCATGTAAACTGTGCAGAAGAATATAATTATTGAACAAAAGAGACAAATACATTACTGTCCTGTCAAAGCATTAAGGTGTTAGGATGGCTACAAGCTCGGTTTTGTGCTAGCATGCTTTATTTTGAAAGGCATTAAAACTACAATAACAGGAAATAACTTGGGAAATTTCTAGGAGTGCTGATAGCTATTGTGTAAGCTCCTGTAGACTGAGATACTCGACAAAGGATTAGAAAATATAACGCATGATTAAACCAAACAAAACTATGATAAATTTTGGAAATGACCAAATACTGGTTGTGCCATATAAATTCTGAATAACAACAATAATAATGATCATAATCATCATCATCATAATATCTACAGACTTCAGAATACAAAGAGATTGATTTATTAAAACTGGAGAGTGCAAATTATGGGTATACACTCATTGAATAGAACCAATCAGCTTCCATTTTTTTTTTTTTTTTTTTTTGCTGAACACGCTGAAGTTAGAAGCCGACTGGCTACCATGCACAGCTGCACCAGATTTTGGACTCTGAAGCTTTAGCAAAGCAGTTGGAAGATTTTCCCCCCTCTTTCTGTCTTTGCGACACCTCAAAAATGAAGAGAAAGAGACAGCAATGAAAAATCAAACATCTAACCATTCCAGGTTTCCTAAAATTCACTTAGGGAGATTTTTCTCACTTTCTGTCCCGATGACCAGGAAGTGAGGGAAACCTCTTCAATGGGCGTATACCCATATGCAATTAAAAAAAAAAATTGGCCGCAGTCTTGCTTGAAGAAACAGATTCTGTACAAATAAAATGCATATACTGTGTGTGCAATTACCCAGAGTAATGAGGTTTATACAATATTGCTGGCTATTAAAATTATTTTTTAATTGATCTTTTTAGCTGAATGAGAAACTTTCACCCTACAGGTCTATTTTTACTGAAAAAAAAAAAAAGGCTCCGGCAGCACCACATACATATATAATTTCCACTGAGCTAGCTGCCCATAAAAGAGTGCAAAAATATGGCTCTAGACATTCTAGACCTTAAACTACTATAGGAAATTAAAGAGGCTTAAAGGAGACACGTCTATAAGCTTTTGCAGATCAAAAGAACTCTCTGAGGACTTGTAAATAGCAAAACAACATTCCCGGTTTTGTATTTAATACTTTAGAATTTAAATCCAGGATTATACTTGGCTATCACCCTGGGATAATAAAAGAACAGGCTAAGAGAAAGGAAATCTTTAGCTACACAAGATATGTTTGTATATACTGTATGTTCAGTACTGAATTACAAGCCTTTGTATCAGTGATAACAGTTTAATCTAAGAGCAGACACTTAACCATTAGCTCTGGGTAACATTCTGGGATTATGCTATAATAAACTGGCCAAGCATGGTCATCTAACAGGAAAATGATGAGGAAGGGCAGTGATTAGCATAATTACTGTCATTACATGTGAAGGACAGAGGGTGCAGAAAACAACCATTTAGCCCATAATTGTTTCCCCTAAAGGATCTTTACTTAAGACCTTCAACTAGTTGGGTGGGTGCCTTACTGAGGAGAATTCATTCATTTCAATGTCATGCACAACTATTTAAAAAGAACTTCCTCCATCAATGCAGCTTAAAGGATATGTTCATCTCTAGCCATGTGTGCAGTCACAGCACTGCATGTTGCAGTTGATGGAGAAGACCATTGGGTTGTTTACTAAAAGAGCCGAGACTCTTCACTTAGCAAAGTGTACTGTATGTTCACCTTGAACATTTTAATTTATTTAATAAATAAGGTTAATAAACTGTGATGACTTTGAATACACAATCAAACGCAAAGGAAATGAAAAAAAAAAAAAAAGGCTTGCACATAATTGAACAACTGAAGTTCACACCAATGCGATTTGTAGGCAATAGAACCATTAAGAGTCACACCGATTTTGAAAATAGTTTCTGCACTATTTTCATCAATTTCAGGTGCAAGTTGCATGAAGTCATTTAGTTAAGAGAGCAGTCACTAATCTTTTAATAAATCTACCCTAACGTGCTGAAATTTGGGATGTGGAGATTTT